TTTTTTTTTTCGAAACGATAGAGGTAATATATAACTCAAGAGGAAACAATATTCGAATACAACCAACACACCAACCGAGCCTAACTGAAAATTTGGAGGACGCGCATACAAGCGGGCTAGAACTCAAAATCTAAACAACATACTAGAAATTGAACTAAGAAAAAGAAGAAGGTACAACTAACCACTGCCACAAATGCCTAGTTAGAAAACCAACTTCAAAAGAAACAACCACTAACAAAATAAACAAAAAACAACCGGATAAACTCAACTAGACCACAACTAATAAGAAGCAGCACCAGACTTGACAGTGGAGAATTTAATCCATTCTCTGTGTGCAGCTTTGATCACAACAGGTATAGGAAGTGTTTCCTCTTCAAAGAGTTATAGGTTCTTCGATTTCCACAATCACCATAGAAGGTAGGTTGTTAGCTGAATCATATCTTCTGCTACCTGGGAGTAATCAATGGAACAAATTTTCCACCACCAAGTCTAAAGGAACAACCATCAATACAGACACCATCCCAGTTAGTGGGAGCCATCCTCCACATCATTTTAGCTCTAATATAGTGTAGAAATACATGTTCAATTGTTTTAGCTGACTCACCACAGTAAGAGCATAGAACATCGATATACAGACCTCTTTTCATTAAGTTCACCTTAATAGGTAATAGCCCAGAGAAGCATTTCCATAAAAAATGTTCTAGAGTACCTTCAAGTTTGAACTCGTGCTCATTTAATAAATTTGAACTTGTGTTCGACTCATATAAACTCAGTTTAAGTCATTTAATAAAACTTAAAACCTAGACCAAAACCCAAAACCTAATCAAACCCAGTTCAAGTCATTTAATAAACCATAAAACCTAAACCAAAACCCAAAACTCTAACCAAATTATTCGCGAACATACTCGACTCGATTTGTTTGATAGACAAGATCGATTAGTTGTTCAATTTTGACTCGTTTAAATATACAGCAAGTCAAGTTCGAACTTTTACAAGTCGAACCAAACTATGTTAGAGGACACGACAATTCGAATAACAACTGCATGTTTTGCAGCCTCAGGTGAAAAAAAAATTATGGCTATGCCCTTGCATATATATTAAAAATACATTAAAATTTTGAAAACTATTTTCTTTAAAGACAATCCGACCGATCAGTTTTTTACTGATCGCTTTTTATGTAAAGCCTCTCAGCTAAACCGACAACTTAATATGGTATTTGTTGTCGGTAGTTGACGTTCAATTGGTGACAAATCATTAATTACTATCTTTATTCATAACCTAACTCAACTCAACCTAATAATAAAAAATTATTTCTCATTCATCCATCTACATAACCCAACTTTTACAACCTAACTTATCTTTGTCCACAATCCAACTCAACCTTAATATTTATTTTATTTAAAAATTATAATTGTATTCCAAAATTTATCGAATGTGATATTTATTTGTAGAGAATGAAAAAATACAAATTTTAATATTTTTATTTTTTATTTAATATAAATTATTTTTTTTTTTCTTATTTTCGTTTTTGTCTTTATTCCATGACCCAACACAAGATGTCATTGATAAAGATAGTGTTAGGGTCATCAACTTTTTCCTGTGAGACAACTTTCGAGAACATAATAAAGAAAAAGACTGTACAGTACAATGCAAGGGGTCAAATGCTGAGATTATGAGTTATTATCAAGATTATTTATTACAGCCACACCATTTTACAATTTATTACATACATAAATGTACAAAAAGTACATAGCAATAACTAAAGACCACACAAACTCAGTGAATGTACAAGTCTATCAAGCACCAACTGGAGTGGGTGCAATAATGGACTCCATTTCACCTCTTTTGTGGATAACTCTTTCTTTGTCATCCTCCTCATTTACCCATAGTGCTGGGATGACTTGTACCATGTCTCCCAATGATTCCAGGGCATAATCTGCTCCCTTGCATCTTATTGATCTCCCAACCTTTGTCACAACAAAATATATTTCTATTTGAGTTGATCAATTATTAGTGCCACTAAACTTGATTGGAAAAGTCTAATTATGTCCCAATAGATATCTTTTCAATCTGATTATCTTACAATGATTACAATTTATTCATTCATTTTATCGTCGTCTCTTTTCTCCGGATTTTTTTTTTTAATTCTTTTTTGTAAATTAAAAATCAACAATAGCTACATATGTTTACAATGTTTATTATTTATCCACCAACTTTATTTGTAAGTATCAATCATTAATTTAATTTTCTTTTTTTCTGTCATATCACATTTTATTAAAAGAAAAATTCTTCCACTAACTTAATTTTATCAAATTTTTTTACTACTAGAATATTTCAATTGCACATCTAGAAACTCGTCCGAAGCACTTGATACACGTGTTAGTGCTCGAATTAAGTTTTTCTTTTAAAAAATGAGCATAAAAATAAGAATCCACTAACTACCGTGCACCGTCGGTGCAGGTGACAAAAATGAAAAATAAATAAATAAATAAATAAAATAAATGAACCTAAAAATTAATACAGAAAATTTAGTACTCTCTTCATTTTGAAATACTAGTAAAGTGCACGTGCGATGCACGTGGCGACGAATGTTTTTTACCGATTAAATTTAGTACGATAAATTAATTAATTTATTACACATATGACTGCAGGAACAAAATAAAATGTAGAATTAATAAACTTTTCATGCATTTTATTTTAAATAAAAAAATGTTGTCGTAATATAAAAAAATTTATATATCATATTACAACTTCAACAAAAATATATGAAAAATGAGTTCCTAATGAAAAAACAATAAATGACTAAATAGAGACATAATGTATATTATAGATGCATGAGTTCTTTTATTTATTTATGTTAGATTCAAGAGTCATTTTGTTCTCATAAGAAACATTCATACTCGTTGAATTCTAATACATCAATAGTATTGCAAAATTCTTCTTAATTAAGTTGACAAAACGTCTGTTTTATTCAACACTTAGAAATACATTAGCCAAATATATAGTCAAACTTTATAATTGTATGATTATTATAAGGTATTTCTACTAATAGTTCATGAGCATGTTTGTTTATAAGAAATTTTCAAAAAAAAAATTCTACATTTTAACTCAACCACTTTTTTAACTCAACTTTAACTCACTCCCACTATCATCAAAATTATCAATATAATTAAATAATATCAATCAATCATTCATAAACACCACATCAACCTTAATTCACTATTCATCCACTCACATTATTTTAACTAACCATCACTTCAAATATCTCTCTCATACTTTTGCATCATATCAATTTTAATTATTTTATTATAAATATTATTTTAATATACCTACTAACAACTAACCATACCACCTTTTTCAAAATTAACCAAACCAAACAGAAAAACCTAAACAAAACCAAAAAATTTTATAAACAAACATGCTAACTTATATCTGTGAAATAAGCAATTGTAGCATTAAATTTCTTGATATTTGTGTCATTAAAATTCTTGATATTTCCTTTAATTACTGTATAAACTACTACATATCTCTCTCTCTCTCTCTCTCCACATAGACAAATTGGTACTTACCCATGAGGTGGGAACGAATTTCACCTCTAAATAAAATTTGATTTTCCCAAATCATGTACTTCTCTGAAGATGCTAAATTATTTTTTTGAAATCATCAGACATTACATGAAAATATGTACTCTAAAACAATTGCGCGTATGATCGAGCATAACACACAGTTATGATTGTAAATATTCTTATCAAAAAGTGACAACTTATTCAACATTCAAAAATATTTTAATCAGTATCAAACATTCCCTTTTCAGTGTTACTAATTTAGAAGATAGATACCTTCCATATTCCTTCGGATTTGCAATATTTATGTGTCTAATAACATTTATTGCATTTATTGTCCAATCTTTTGTATCATAACTAATGCTTAAAATATTCAAGATAAAGATCCTTTATTGATTCTTCAATAATAACAAAACAAAACAAAACAATGAGACAATATTGAGAAGTATTTGTCAAAATATTTCAGATGAGAAGAATTTGAATTATACTATATTATGATACTCTTAGTCATCTGTTAACTTTATTATTATGAAGTCATTATTGAAGTTTGTGGTCTATCTTATGATAATATCGAATCATTATTTATGAGAACTAATTTTTTATAGAGAACATATACTTAAATGCTAGCAACAAAAAAAGTAGTAATTTTACAAGATTTTTGTTTCTTGATATTAGTATTCATACTTTTCTAAAAAAATTCAGAAATTTTCTTTTCCTCATTGCATTACTATTGGTTTACTTGTTTTTTTTTTATTTATTTATTCACAAATAATATTTTATTTCTTGAAAGAATTAGAGAATATTTATATTCAATGCGTTCTTTTTACGTGTTTGATAGTGATAATATACTTGATAAAAATGTGGTTTTATATTGTTTATAATATTAAAAAGTTTTGAATTTATTTCCATGTTCTGATAAAATATTAAGTAACTAATTCATGTTTATATTCACAAAGAATACATTTTACAACCATTATGGTGTTCCCTTCCAAACAATAATTGAATAATAGTTTAACATACAACCGATTTATTTTTTTCTTTTAATTCACATATTTAATATTGGTAGTAGTTGTACAATTACATCTAGTTGACTTTTTTCTTAGTATGAATAATTCAAATCTATGTCAGAAAAATATACCACAAGCTTATCTTATATTATTTTATAATTAATAAAATTAATTTAACATGAATTTATAATTATTTTATAAGATTCTTTTAGGTCTATTTATTATTTTAAATTGGTATTGATATATACATATATATATATATTATTTTACATCGATATAAATAATTATATTATTTTTATTTTATTTACAAAACATTGGTAAAATCAAATATCATGGGAAAGAAATGATATGATATATTACATATAAAAGGGTAAGCAAAAAACAAATTAAGTATTTCAAAAACAAGAAATTTAATGGTAAAAATTAACTAATTTTTTAACTAAAAATTTAATTTCTAAGACAAAAAAATAAATATATTTATTATAAATGTGCATCTCAAGTATATTTTTACATTTATCATTCGCTAGCTCCAATTGATATATGACATTTATTAATTTTATCATTTTTTTTTTTATTTTTGAGTGGAATGTCAGTTATAAGCTTTCTCGTTGTGTAATTTTACTTTTTTATTACGTAGAATATAATTTTTACATCTTGTTTAGTATTAATATTACCTTTTCAATAGAACATCATTCTGGCCTCTTCTTTAATTATTATAATACTAATAAATTATTTAAGGACTTTTCAACTTATATGTATTTTTTTAATTACTAATTATCATAAATTAAATTATAATTACATTAAATATGTTATATTTTGTATCATTATCAATAATTTTCAAAACAATTAACTGCACACAATATTATATATAGTGCAAATTTTTTAGTTTCATTTGGAGTCATACTTTTACTACAAAAAAATGATGAAATTCCAATGAAAACATATTACAACGAAATTTCAACAACAATTCTAACGAATATTTCAACGTTACAATTTTCGTTTGAATTTTTCAATGAAAATTATAACAAAAACATTTTGTTGCAATCATGTGCAGATCCATGTTTGTCCAACTGTCCCAAAACAAATAGCATAAGATATCTAACAAACATTATGGGAACATTTTTCATAATTTTAATCATGTCCTCTATTTAGAAAATAAAATTAATAGAATAAAGACAAATAATGATTAATTTACAACTCAACCAATTATAATTTAATTCAACTCATAACGTTATTAAAATTATAACATCAATGCGGTATCCCAACTAAAGAAAATATGATATCAAAGTTTACAATTTCACGCTTTATTTCTCTCTTTTTTTTTTTATTCTTGATGATATCTTATTATCTCTCTTTTGCGACATAATTTTTATCTAATTTTAGAAAATATAATTTTAAGTCTTTTTTAAGTGTATGTAGAATTCTAGTTATATATTCGTAATTTATACAATCATCTATTATATTGTCGAGTCAACTATGCTACAACATAAAATTTTTGTTCATAAAAGATTTTAAAAAATGTATTATTTTTTTTATGAATTTCTTATGTTAAATTGATAAAAACTATGTTTTTTTTTTAATATTATTGAACTTATTGTGATTGTATTGATGTGTTAAAAAAAGTAATACATATGAGAAAGTTGACAAATTAAGAAAAGTATACTTTATAAATTGTAATGACATTATGTTGTTTTGATGCAATACTTTTTGTATTAATTAGATAGTGCTCTTAACATGAAATTATTTTGGATTCGCCACTGCAGCTAGTTTTTCAATGGAACTTTCATTGTTTTTCCCATATTTAGTGAGAATTTTTTTAATGGTTGAAATATGGACGAAAAAAAAATCCAACATAAATTCACACAAAAATAAATATTAGTAATTGAGATATTAAATCCACAAAAATTTCAATGTAATTTAATTTACTCACCATTGGAATAGCCAGTGAATCTTTTCAATAGAAATTATACCAATGAAATATTTGTTGGTATTTTATGTGGAATACCTTACTGTTGGATTTTTCATTATAATATGGAATTTTTTTATTCTTTCATAATCATTAAAATGTTTATGTAGTAATTTTTTTATTTATTAATTGTATTTATAATTTTTCTTTTAAATTTATTAAAACATCTACTTTTTAGTCCATATAATTTTCTTACAAGTCACTCGTTATTTTATGTTGAGATTACCTATTAATTTCTCAATTGAATTACTTTCCCTACATATTAATGGAAATAAGTATTATTTTTATATGCAATATAATATTTATATATTATATTAAAAAAGCTAATAACAAATAAAAAATTATTTAAATTTACAATAATTAATTTATTTTTAAAAAATTAAAAACTCTAACCTATAAAGATTAAAGTACAAATAACTATTGTCAATAACCTAAAACTTACACCTATAATTAATAAGCACAAAAAAGTAGCAATCGTGCTCGTTTACATCAATATGTACAAGTTTTAAAAGTTTTGTATTTATATTTATTAATTATAACATTTTTATTTATTACTTTTTTCATATGTATTAGTAAGTATTACAACTTAATTATATTTTTAATATTATGTATCAGATTTAATATTTTCTTACTTTATATTGTTCTTTCACACACACACACACACACACACACACACACACACACACACACACATATATATATATATATATCTCTTGAATTTGTTAAAAAAATGCATAATACTAAGTATATAACTTTTTTTGCTCATATGTCTTATTATATCTATTATAGTTGTACATCTTTATATTATATTATGTATAATTATAATTTTCTAATTAATATTATTATCAGATATTTTGTACGTTTTTTAATAAAGTTTATTTATTGTAATAATACATATTAATAGATAGGTTTATTTTGTAAAATTAATAAACCTGTACATATTAATCGATTTTAAATATTTTACTTATAGTTATTAATAAACTTGTAAAATTAAATAAATATTGTTGAAACAGTTATCTTATTTGATAGGATACTTACGGTTAAACTCTTAAATTTTATTTGAAAAAGTCATAAAAGTATTTAAGAATCTTGAATAATATCAATAAATAAAATATTTTATTTATAAAATTTTGAATTATAATCGTTTATAGAGCGCTCAACTTGAAAATTAATTTCTCAAATAAAATAATAATAATAATAATTAAAATTTCATGAACATTTTTATTAATAATTGAATGAAAAATTTAAATATTTTAAGTCTTATAATTAAAAAATTACGCAACTTGATATTGATCACGTAATGGTCACGTAAAGATTCGTTAACTCTATTAGCTTTGCGACCAAAATTTGAAAATACAAAGCACTAAACAATGACGATTTTTGTGGGATCAAAATTCAATCCAATAAAACTAAGGTGCAATCTAATTCTAGTTCTAAATACAAGAGTTTATTTTTCATAAATAATGATCTAGTTAAATGAATTCTTTGATTTTTCTAGTTTGTTAGATTATGTATATATTCCACGTGTGGATGATTTCAGTAATATTTGAGGTATCTTCTCTTGATTAAAGTTATGTATGTATCTTGTAAATTATTTATTATATAAAATTTACCCCTCAACTAAGTTATCATGTTTTACCAAGATTTATCGTTTTGTTAAAAGATAGGTAAACAAATAGTTGAAAATATTTTAGATCTTTTATAAGTATTTATTCTGTTGTTTTTGTTGCATAATTTTTTGGTTAAATAAATTTTATATATTAAAATCATTAAATATGATTACAATTTTATCATCGAAATTATATTAAAAATAAGGACGTTATTCAAAACAAAAATTCAATATCATTTCAAAACTTTGTTGTTTGGGTTAATGTTGAGTTGATCTTTTAGAGATATGTAAGAAAACGGTTTGAGAGATATGTGAAAGAAACCAAATTCTTGAAGAATAATAGTGTGAATATTGTGGTTGATTTTTAAGAGATGTGGAATGTTTTATTCATTTAATTGTATTAAATGAATAAAATATCAAATGAGTATTAGTGCATTACTAATTTGAGATTAAAAATATGTCAAATAAAAGGGTTTTTAGGTAAATATTAGTTATTAATAAAAAAAATATAAGACAGGTTATATATTATGTTATTACTAATTTGCCATTAAAAATATACCAAAGTAAGGGTATATTAGTGACTTCTTTCTTTAACAAAAACACTCATCCTTTTATAGTAGTATTCTGAGTTACCATTTTAGTTAGCACAACATTTAGACATAGAATATAATAAAACATTTGGACTAAATATTACATAAGATTATTTTGTAGATATTGTTTACAAGAACCAATTTGTTTTGGTGGACTTCTGTGGAAGAGTTATTTTTTTTTTCAACAGCTACTTTGCTAAGAGAATTATAACAATTTATTCAAAGACTACCTCAATCTCCATCATTTTTAGTAAATTTAGAATTATTTGACTCATACTTTGGGCGTGGATCGGAATAGTTTTCAATGTTATGCTAGTTTTCAATGTTACGTTGTTATTTATTTAATTAAATATTAATGATTAACTAAAAAATATAAGACTTGAAAATTATTAGTGTATTACTAATTTGTCATTAAAATTAAGTCAAAGTAAGGGTTTTTTAAGTAGTTCATTTGTTAATTAAAAATATAAAATAAGATGAATATTATTGTATTACTAATTTACCATTAAAAATATGTCAAAGTAAGGGTTTTTTAGGCAGATCATTATTTTTACAAAATCACTCGTCCTTTTATAATAGTATAGATAGATAAGGCATTTAAGATTATTGTACAAATATTAAGGAGACATTAATTAATGAATAAATTGATTAAATTAATCTTATTTACTATAATCACAACCACTCCACACTTCTTTAATTTCAACACAATGAGGGTATATTTAGAAAAAAATGCAAAATTTATCTTTATTTTTTAACGTGCCGTATATTTCAAAAAAATTGAGAAATCTTTATACATCTTATATTTCAAAATGAAGGGAGTAGAAAATAGAAATAACATTTAATTACCAGAACAGTACGAAGCCCCACAGCCTTCCCGGCAGCAACGTTCTTCACATTGTCATCAAAAAACAGCTGAATTTTCCAACAAATTAAACGTGTTTTTTATTTTTTTTTTCAAGTCAAAATCGGAGGAAAACAGTATAAAATTTGGAAGGCTAATTGAGAAATTATCACATGGAGCTGCGGCATACCGTACGGCGGGGATCAACCTCGGCGGCGTCAATGGCAATTTTCATGGCTTCGATGGAAGGCTTCAGAACCACAGGAAATTCGTCCGGGCGTGTCGACATCGACAAATTCGGGTTCATCGTCTCGAAAGATATGATCTTCTCGAAACAATCTCGTATCCCGATACGATTTAGGGCTTTGATCGCGTGAATCCTGTCCGAATTCGTGAAAATCTGCACAATAATTAATTTGAGGAATTTCTCGTCATTTAGTGAAGAACTGAAGATGCAATTTCTCGTGAGAAATATGCTTTCGAGTTGATTATTTTTAGAAAAAAATAAAAAATAAAAAATTCTCACGATTTTCCGTTGTTTAATTGACTGCAATAGGTTGCGTAGTCGAGGGTCTGGTCGGATCAAATCATAGGGCAATCTTCCGTGCACGAAACTGTTAAAAATAAAAAATTTAAATTTTATAGAATTATAATTTCATCTTTGTCCTTTTTTCTGTATTAAATTAAATAATAAGCTTTTTTTTTTTTCTTTTTAGTTTATTTCTTAGCACCTGTGATAATCTTCAGGATTAATGTTGTAGCCTGAAGCCTGCCAACAAATATCGACAAAAGAAAAAAGAAAAAGGAAGAGAATAATCGGATTATTACGATATTCATAATTGTAGAAAGTGAATTAGAGCAATTCAATTTGTATAATTAAAACTAATTAAATACCCTGAGTCCAGCTAAGGAGCTTCCATATGTCCTGAAAAACTCTGCATTCACAATTGGAGCTTCGGATTCCGAAAACCCGCATTTCTCGACCAGAAAATCTGTAAGAAAACGATCAGGAAATAAATTTATTTGGACACGAAAAACATTACTAGCATTTTCTCTAGTAATTGTTTTTTATTGCATAAAAATTAAAGTGATTAATTATATTTATTATGTGTGCTGTTTAACCTTGAACGTTACGCTTAACAGCTTGTCCGATCCCAGTCTTGGAAGAATACAACGTGTCGTCCAAATCTGCTCGCGCCAGTCAATAGAAGACAAAATTCGACAGCTTTATTAAATTTAATTTAAACCCACCGGTAAAATATAACTACTCTGTTTCTCACAGTAGTAAAAGTTAAACAACCACAATTGATTTACAAAAAAGTTAGACAGAGAAGATAAAAAGTGAATAAGTAAAATGATTTTTGTTTATTTACCAAAAATGACACATTCGAACGCGGAATCCGAGGCAAAGTGAGAATCCATTGCAATGAGAGCAGGAAAACGATTAACTGGAAATGTGGCAAAGTAAATGTTTTTATTATTGAGGTTTATAACGTTAATTTTCAGACAAAGTTTAGGAGCAAGAATGATAAGGGTATTTATAGGAGGGACGGCATATGGGCATGGAGACATGAAAGGATAACGAGTTAGAGTTGGTAGCTGAGTCAGCATGGGACCCATACACTGGTCGTCATCCAACAAGACGCGTGTACACCACATTAGGATTACCGCCTAATTTAAAAACTGGGACCGGTAGTTGCTGAATAAATTAATTTTATAAAATTTTAAATTATACTTATATTACTTTCCCTATAACCATACATAAAATAATAAACTAAATTATTTTTGTGTAAATTTTATACCCAAATCTCTTAATATATTATATTATGTGATAATAATTAACATATATGTATATATATACACATAATTTTATTTAAGAAAAAGATAAATAAAGTATATATTTAATGGTTGGGTCAAACTGAGTTGACCTTGACCTAGCCGGGTCGACCAGGTCAAGGTTGAAGCCGAGTTGTGACTGAATTTAACCAGATCCATGTTGGGTTCGGTGAAAAATGTCGATTGGAACGAATCGAAATCCTAAGCGCAATAGATCAAAAGTTTGGATTCGAATCTTACGGTTTAAAATTTGTCGACTCTGAGACGCTTTACACAGTTTACAGGACCGGACGAATGGATGAACTCTTTATCTTTTGTCATAAGTCTCGACACCTCTCCTAGCTCGTCTTTGTGGACGACGACTGCTCGGATATCCCAGAGTCTCACACACATTTGGATCTTGGGAAAAAAAGAATGGAGAACTTATGTTATAGAACACTATATTTTCTTTACTAGAACCGCACATCAATTATCTATATATCTCTCTCGTATTTGTTTGGCCGAGATTTATGAGAGTGAGTTTCACGTATGGGATTGCTTGAGACTTGGTTATTTATAGTCTACAACACAAATCTAGATGAGGTGTTAAATCATGACTCTCCATAGGATTAGGCAACTTAGGTTCTGGTCCACCTACACCCAATCCATATGAATAATATTTCATTCCACTAAATGAATATTACTAAACTTCCTATTTAACCCTGAATTAAATTTAATTCGTCTCCAGATTTATTCACTCGATTTATCGCTCCATGTTTAAGATCTAATATCCGTTAATTAATTTAACTACTGACATGCATTATAATTAATAACTTCTTGTTTTGAAGGTAGTACCACACAACCTTCTTATTATGCCAAAACTTAATTCTTCTTGCAGGGCTTGACATAATAAACGTCAAGAGTTCATTTCGAGAATGTCATCAACCCGGCTAGACATGGCCAAGGGTTGAACCGGCCCGCCGAACCGGCCCGGACCCGGACCGAACCCGGCCCGGCCCGGCCCGGAACCGGCCCGGAAATGCCGGTTTTCGGCCCGGAACCGGCCATATCAAGGGCCGGTTCCGGTTCATTCGAA